TTATTTTTGTTTGTTAGGGTTAGAAGGCTGGATGGTTACATAATGCTTTACTGTAAAAATGATATGCTACTCTCAAATACATACATGTACTTCTCAATTATTCTCCATCAGATACGCTGTTGGAAATCGGCGATTGATAAACAGGAAGGTGACAGTTTAACATCAAATTTTGCCAGATCTGATAAGATACTGGTTACTAGCTAGTTTGAGATATTTATGGGACACGAAAATCTGTGTATGTGTGTTTGATTGTAAAGTCAGATGTCAAGTTGGCATTTGAAACTAAACTGAATTTCGTTTTATACGTAAGTTTTCTAGTCAAATGTCCATTTTGTCCATGACAGCTGTACATCGCTCTAGTAACAATTTATTGGAAAGAGGGTTTTTTCTGTTGAATATGCTCACGCTTGTGTTTTGTTTCTTCGCCAGTCCTAGTTCTCTGTGGGACGAGCGCGTCCTTACAGTACCACATAGGATATGGTAGGGAGCCGAGAGGTCCAGAACCTCCTACAGCGCTCCAACATGTGTTAACTGGCAGTCATTCATCATTACAGCCTCCGTACAGAGCCTAGCCTCTTTTAACTACACAGTAGCCACGTTCTGACAACCCTAGCTAACTCTAAACAATGCCACACCCGATTACTTCTAGTCCTTCAACAGAACACTAGGGTCGCTCCCAAGTCAAAAACGTATAAATTTTGTTTGCAACAATTTGAGTTTTCTACTGTTGCCAAGTTATTGTGGGAGGGAATGCCAGTAGTTGTTGTACCTTTGCTACAGATGAGTAAAGAGGAATGATGTCAGAGGTTTAGCACTGAAGTGTCCCTGATGACTTGATCATAAGTCAGAATATCTAGTGTATGACATACATGATCTTTTACAAGCCACGCCTGTTTTACATGTCGGTACAGTTATTAAGCATGGTATGTCTGAATCCAGGCTGACATGTGGAAGGAAGGGTATGAGTCAGCAAAACTTGTGCAATATTTCAAACACACCTTCTCATTTATTAATGGCGGATATGATCTGTTTTAAATTATCATTAAATAACATGTAAAAACGAATGGTATCTACTCTAATATAAAAGTAGTGGTGAAATAGTTGGACCAGATGTTGGAGTAGTCAAATCAATGTTAATATCCCAAAGGTTTGATTGGTGTAATTTCCCTCTGGTTTTATTGATGTAAATACCCCAATGGTTTGATTGTTGTAAACATCCCTCTGGTTTAATGATGTAAATACCCCAATGGTTTGATTGTTGTAAATATCCCTCTGGTTTAATGATGTAAATAATCCCTGTGTTTTGATTAATGTACAATTCCTATTGTTTGTTTGATGTACAATTCCTATAGTTTGTTTGATGTACAATTCCTATAGTTTGGTTGATGTACAATTCCTATAGTTTGGTTAATGTAAAATTCCTATAGTTTGGTTGATGTACAATTCCTATAGTTTGTTTGATGTACAATTCCTATAGTTTGGTTGATGTACAATTCCTATAGTTTGTTTGTTGTACAATTCCTATAGTTTGGTTGTCTGAACAGCTAAATTTAACAACGAGTTGGTGAGAGTGATTATAATTAAGTATAATTGATTAGTTGAACCCAAAAGTATCATTCACACTAGACAAATTACCCAATAAGTGATTTTGTCACAACCGCTTTAATACTACTTTGACTGTAGATTGCATAGACAGCATAGACAGCAAACAATTATAAGCAAGAAATAGTTTAGTTCCCATTTTTGCATGATCAAAAATACGTAGCTGAGGAATTAAACGATGTACATCCATTAAAAGTGAAGATAAACCTTTAGAATGAGATTTAATCTTTCACTGGTCATTTATTGTGGATAATCATTTGGTGGCATTTTTCATCAAATCAAAAAACATGTTCTGATAAAAATTTACTATATATGTGCGTGAAAGCCACAGTAAGATCATTGTAACTGAAGGATGGCTTAACCTGTGTAAGACGCATAGACTACTTTCCTTTTTTTCGTGTAAAGTGTTAAACTCAAAACTCACTGATAATTACCACCCTTGGCAATGTAGAGATGAATAGGCTGCATTCAGATGTCACAGGGGTGACTGACTTTTGTGCACCAGACGTATTGAATGGAAAGTCCATTAGGGATGTAAAGGAGCATAGAGTGATGGGGAGGTCAGCAAGAGATCGTGATGGGGTGGGGGACAGGGATAGATGATAATAGGGAGGGGAGTCTGGAATGGATGAGGGCCGTAACGGAGTCTGGCGTTAACAAGGTTTCTGTACAGTCATTATCACCTGTTGTCTGGGCACCTGCAGTAGTGAGCTCAATACCAGACCAGACATCAAATGCATACTTTCCAGATCACCTGTTTTCTATTTGTAATTCCTGTATCACATGGTCGTTCTTCATTATAAGAAAAAAAAGTACTTTTGCAATCCTTTTTAGGATATGCAGATCAGTTCTAGTATTAGGGATTTGGTTGCTTAAGAGATATTTTTGATATGGTTATGCAAACAGAGATTGTGGATATGGTCGTGTTAGAGATAATGATGCAATGATTATGATAAAGATGTTGTTTCTATGGCGTTGTAAAATGTAGTGTTTTAATTATTGTATGACATATAATTTTGATATAGTTATGCAAAAGGATAATTAAAAAGATAAGGTATGAAATAAAAATCTGTAGGAATAATTGTTAACTTAGTTGATTAAGAGACATTGTTGCTATGGTTATGGAAGATACATTGTTGCAATGGCTGTTTGATAGAGACTGTTGATATGGTTATGTACAAGATATTGTTGTTATGATAATGTTAGATATGTAATTTATATGGTTATTTCAGAGACGTTGTTATCATGCTAAGTCAGACATAGATATATTGTTGCTATGGTTGTGTAAGAGATATCCTTAATATAGTCATTTAAGAGAGATTATTTTTACGATAAAATGTTGCTTTTGTAATCATTTTTTTAGCTATGGTTATGGAAGCCATATTGTTGTTATGGTTGTGTAAGACTAATTGTTGTTATGGTTGTGTAAGACTTACTGTTGTTATGGTTGTGTAAGACTTATTGTTGTTATGGTTGTGTAAGGGATGTTGTTGTTATGGTTGTGTAAGAGTTATTGTTGTTATGGTTGTGTAAGACTTATTGTTGTTATGGTTGTGTAAGACTTATTGTTGTTATGGTTGTGTAAGACTTATTGTTGTTATGGTTGTGTAAGACTTATTGTTGTTATGGTTGTGTAAGACTTATTGTTGTTATGGTTGTGTAAGACTTATTGTTGTTATGGTTGTGTAAGACTTATTGTTGTTATGGTTGTGTAAGACTTATTGTTGTTATGGTTGTGTAAGACTTATTGTTGTTATGGTTGTGTAAGACTTATTGTTGTTATGGTTGTGTAAGACTTATTGTTGTTATGGTTGTGTAAGACTTATTGTTGTTATGGTTGTGTAAGACTTATTGTTGTTATGGTTGTGTAAGACTTATTGTTGTTATGGTTGTGTAAGACTTATTGTTGTTATGGTTGTGTAAGACTTATTGTTGTTATGGTTGTGTAAGACTTATTGTTGTTATGGTTGTGTAAGACTTATTGTTGTTATGGTTGTGTAAGACTTATTGTTGTTATGGTTGTGTAAGACTTATTGTTGTTATGGTTGTGTAAGACTTATTGTTGTTATGGTTGTGTAAGACTTATTGTTGTTATGGTTGTGTAAGACTTATTGTTGTTATGGTTGTGTAAGACTTATTGTTGTTATGGTTGTGTAAGACTTATTGTTGTTATGGTTGTGTAAGACTTATTGTTGTTATGGTTGTGTAAGACTTATTGTTGTTATGGTTGTGTAAGACTTATTGTTGTTATGGTTGTGTAAGACTTATTGTTGTTATGGTTGTGTAAGACTTATTGTTGTTATGGTTGTGTAAGACTTATTGTTGTTATGGTTGTGTAAGACTTATTGTTGTTATGGTTGTGTAAGACTTATTGTTGTTATGGTTGTGTAAGACTTATTGTTGTTATGGTTGTGTAAGACTTATTGTTGTTATGGTTGTGTAAGACTTATTGTTGTTATGGTTGTGTAAGACTTATTGTTGTTATGGTTGTGTAAGACTTATTGTTGTTATGGTTGTGTAAGACTTATTGTTGTTATGGTTGTGTAAGACTTATTGTTGTTATGGTTGTGTAAGACTTATTGTTGTTATGGTTGTGTAAGACTTATTGTTGTTATGGTTGTGTAAGACTTATTGTTGTTATGGTTGTGTAAGACTTATTGTTGTTATGGTTGTGTAAGACTTATTGTTGTTATGGTTGTGTAAGACTTATTGTTGTTATGGTTGTGTAAGACTTATTGTTGTTATGGTTGTGTAAGACTTATTGTTGTTATGGTTGTGTAAGACTTATTGTTGTTATGGTTGTGTAAGACTTACTGTTGTTATGGTTGTGTAAGACTTATTGTTGTTATGGTTGTGTAAGGGATGTTGTTGTTATGGTTGTGTAAGAGATATTGTTGTTATGGTTGTGTAAGACTTATTGTTGTTATGGTTGTGTAAGGGATATTGTTGTTATAGTTGTGTAAGACTTATTGTTGTGATAGTTGTGTAAGGGATATATTGTTGTTATGGTTGTTTAAGGGATATTATTGTTATGGTGTTGTAAGATATATTGTTGATATGTTTGGACGGTAAAAAATCTTGTTCTCACTTAAAATGACGCCAGGTTATAGAACGTCAGCCGCTAGGTGTCAAACATTTTTGATCTACCACACTTTTTCTTTGAAACACTTCCTGGTGAGAATTTAGAACAAAAGAAGTAGTTCCCATACTGGAGTCACTCGGGATTTATGCCTATGTGGGATAGAGTTATCTAACATTGGTGTTCCGGACCCGACAGGTGTATCCGTCTCACATTGTGTCCTAAGCTTAGCCTTGGCATTATGAATTTGATATTTCTAGGTTTGATTTTGGTTATAAATAAACAAAAGTTTTCTGACATATTTGTTTTTGATTTTCAGAATGTGGCAGAACCCTACAGGAGTCTATAGCCGACTTTTCCCACACACCCAAGGCTAACGAAGCTGAGATGTGCCACTGGAGAATATCTGCTACCCACGGGGAGAAGATCGTTCTCAATCTCACTTCTATTGACATTCCAGATACAGTGGGTTGTGAAACCGACTACTTGGAGATCCGTGATGGACATTATATCAGATCACCTCTCCTCGGTGGGTAAAAGTGGTGTTAATTCAGTGTTACCTCTCTTCGGTGGGTAAAAGTGGTGTTAATTCAGTGTTATATCCATGCGTGTTGTATGTTGTTTTTGTATGTGTACCATATTGTATGGTGTTTAAAAAGTATTGTATTTGCACCACATTGTATTGTGTTTGTTAAATATTGTATTTGTTTAGTATTGTGTTTGCATTGTATTGTGTTTGTATCATATCGTGTTTATACTTTATTGTATTGTGTTTTTATCGTGTTGTGTTTATTCCAAATTGCATTGTGTTTGTACCGTGTGGTGTTTATATCACATAATATTGTGTTTGTATCGTGTTGAGTTTATACCATACCTAATTGTGTTTGTATCGTGTTGTGTTTATATCTCATTATATTGTGTTCGTATCGCGTTGTGTTTATACTATGTTGTATCGTGTTTGAATAGTGTTGTGTTTATACAAAATTGCATTGTCTTTGTATCGTGTGGTATTTATATCACATTATATTGTGTTCGTATCGTGTTGTGTTTATACTATGTTGTATCGTGTTTGTATAGTGTTGTGTTTATACAAAATTGCATTGTCTTTGTATCGTGTGGTATTTATATCACATTATATTGTGTTCGTATCGTGTTGTGTTTATACCATACCTAATTGTGTTTGTATCGTGTTGTGTTTATACTGTGTTGAACCGTGTTAGTATCTTGTTGTGTTTATACCATACCTAATTGTGTTAATATCGTGTGGTTTTTATACCACATTGTATTGTGTTGGTATCGTATTGTGTTTATACCACATTGTATTGTGTTTGTATCGTGTTGTGTTTATATCACATTATATTGTGTTCGTATCGTGTTGTGTTTATACTATGTTGTATCGTGTTTGTATAGTGTTGTGTTTATACAAAATTGCATTGTCTTTGTATCGTGTGGTATTTATATCACATTATATTGTGTTCGTATCGTGTTGTGTTTATACCATACCTAATTGTGTTAATATCGTGTGGTTTTTATACCACATTGTATTGCGTTGGTATCGTATTGTGTTTATACCACATTGTATTGTGTTTGTATCGTGTTGTGTTTAAACCACATTGTATTGTGTTTGTATTGTATTGTGTTTGTATCGCGTTGTGTTTAAACCATATTGTATTGTGTTTGTACTATTTTGTATTTTGTTAATACCATATTCTATTGTGCGTGCCGTATTTTTGGTTCGGCTGCCACGCGAGGCGACATATAGATATTACTTTGTCGTCGTTGTGTCGATAACTTGAGTTCCTTTCGGTTGATTGAACTCAAACTACTTACAGTGCTTTCCTACTGAAAGTGCTTGCTTCGTATTGCTTTTCAGGTCCGAATGTTAAAGGTCAAGGTCACCGTTACTATAAATAGAAAATATGTTTCCGTGCGATAACTCGAGTTTCTTTAGGTCGATCGAGCTCAGATTTCATACAGTGCTTTTACCGATAGCGCTTGCTTGGGATTAATTTTCATGTCCGATTGTCAAAGGTCAAGGTCACTGTTACTATAAATAGAAAATATGTTTCCGTGCAATAACCTTAGTTCCTTAAGGTTGATTGAACTCAATGTTCATGCGGTGCTTCCTAACTAAAAGTACTTGTTTGGGATTGCTTTTCAGGTCCGAAGATCAAAGGTCAAGGTCAACGTTACTATAAATAGAAAATCTGTTTCTGTGAAATAACTACAGTTTCTTTGGGTTGATCGAACTTAGCCTTCATACAGTGCTTTCTAACCAATAGTGCTTGCTTGGGATTGCTTTTCCTGTCCGAAGATCAGAGGTCAATGTCGCCGTTACTATAAATAGAAAAACTGTTTCCGTGCGATAAGTCCAGTTTCCTTGGGCCTATCAACCTCAAACTATATCACTAAAAGCGCTGCGCAGGCGACAAATCCACTCCTGTTGAATTATTTTGTTGTGTTTGTGCCAGATGTCTGTAAAATACTATATTATGTTTGTTCCCTACTGTATTGTGTTTGTTCCATACTGTATTTTGTTTGTACCGTAATACACTTGTCATTGTACGATTTTAGAATTAACTTGTACCACATGATATATTGTGTTTGTATCAAATGGTATTTGTATCAAATTCATTGTGTTTGTACTAAAATGTACAACTTCAATGAATAAATTTTAGAAGGACAAAGGACAAATAAAAAAATCTCCGCCGACTAACAAGCTCTATATAGATATAAGACAGACAGGGACTTCAGTCCAATGTCAAGGTTCAAGGTCAACGGTTACATGCGGTGACTGACAGAATATAGGACTTATCATGTCTTTAGTGCGACAAGTCAAAATTTCATGTGAGAGGATCATAATAATTTGCAGTTTCTTCAATATTCCCCCAACACACGGTGTTCTGGTCAATTGATTGTATGTGCCCCTATGTTTGGTTGAGTGTAGCTATGGCTGAGAAAAGGAAATGGCTGGTAGAAGGGCTGGAGGTCGTGCTAAATGGACAAGTTTTGACGTGTAATTGGCAGTGTTGGGTATATTCATCGTAACATTGGCAAGCAAGTATTGATCTGGAGGTACAAAGTTGACTCACTAAGTCATCATGGATTCTTCTTGCCATAAAAACCAACACATGATTGCGATGTTATGTGTGTTGTGCTTTTTTTGTCAGGACTAAGTATCAATAAAACTACATTAAAACAGGTTAGAAAGTGTAGCATGTGTAATCAAAAGCATTCTTTTTCTCTGATCAGACAAACAACATGAAATATCTAGATTCGCGATAAAAAAGTTAACTATCTTACTGTCAAGTGTATGTAGAAGATTCACACTGTCGGGGCTACAGATGTACGAGCTCGTTTGGCGGATGCATGTGGCACTGGGCACCTTGGGCAAACCATGATAACAAAGGTCAACATAAATGTTTTCTAGCATCTTGTGATGCTTTAAAACCGTCCTTAAATTCCATAATGTCTCTGGCGATAGTGATATATGGCAAATGACCTTGATGTTCCTTCAAGGTCGAAGTGGTGTAATGTATCAAATCTTTAACAGCTTATTAAAAATTAAAATTAAAAAATCTAATTTGACATTTTACTGCTGAGAATTGAACAGACTTTTATGTTAGAATATATAATCAAACTTGTTAAGTATACAACTTAAAATAACAGATATTGTTAAGTGGTTCAGCTTATTTAGTCGGCTATCAAGTATGCTTAACTAGGCTAAGCTTACACATGATTAAGGTCACGGTAGCAGCCTCTCTAAATACGTTGTTTATTGTGATATAATAATGGGCAGCAAATTTTACATTGATGTATTGGAGCGTAACTTTCGAATTAAAACTATGTTCCTGGAGGATTGAAACATTTGTTCTCCCTACAAACTTATGCGAGGACCCCGTAGCCTGCTGCTACAATGGTACACTGTCTAGACACTCTTGTAACTTTGTGAAGCACCCCTCTGCGGACTGCCGAGGTCTGATCTGTATGATAGGAGATGTACTATATATAACCTTATCATCTGGTGTTGCACCAATGATGCAGTTCTTGTGGGTAGATTATGACAGGTGATGCACCGAAAAGGATGTACTTTATATCTACAACACTTCCTGGCACACTACCAATGGTACATATGCATTTCTTTGTACGACAAAGGTATGTGACAAGGTATAATCCTGGTTCATGGGTATTTCATTGCTAGTGCAATTTATATGGGGATAGGTAAAACATGGCCACACTTCTACTGTAGGATGTGTGACAGTTAGAAGTGGCATAGTATAGCATCGGTATTGTATGACCTTAAACTGATATTGAGTAGTACGCGTGGTCCTATCATTGGTGTTATTGTGAGGTATCCAGAGTCTAAACAGTGGTGGTAAGTGGCATACAAAACATAATGAAATATGTGTAAAACGGGTTGATTAGGGGAAACAGTGGTATTTAGTGTTAGAGTCTGAACAGTGGTATTGAGTGGTAGAGTCTGAACAGTCGTATCGAGTGATAGAAAGATCCCAAACAGTGGTATTGAGTGGTATAGTCTGAACAATGGTATCGAGTGGTAGAGTCTGAACAATGGTATCGCGTGATAGAAAGATCCCAAACAGTGGTATTGAGTGGTAGAGTCTGAACAGTCGTATCGAGTGATAGAAAGATCCCAAACAGTGGCATTGAGTGGTATAGTCTGAACAATGGTATCGAGTGGTAGAGGCTGAACAATGGTATCGCGTGATAGAAAGATCCCAAACAGTGGTATTGAGTGGTAGAGTCTGAACAATGGTATTGAGTGATAGAAAGATCCCAAACAGTAGTATTGAGTGGTAGAGTCTGAACAATGGTATTGAGTGGTAGAAATATCCTAAACAATGGTATCGAGTGGTAGAGTCTGACCAATGGTATCGAGTGATAGAAGGATCCCAAACAGTGGTATTGTGTGGTATAGAGTCTGAACAGTCGTATCGAGTGATAGAAAGATACCAAACAGTGGTATTGAGTGGTAGAGTCTGAACAATGGTATCGAGTGGTAGAGTCTGAAAAATGGTATCGAGTGATAGAAAGATCCCAAACAGTGGTATTGAGTGGCATAGAGTCTGAACAGTCGTATTGAGTGGTAGAGTCTGAACAATGTTATCGAGTGATAGAAAGATCACAAACAGTGGTATTGAGTGGTAGAGTCTGAACCATGGTATCGAGTGATAGAAAGATCCCAAACAGAGGTATTGAGTGGTAGAGTCTGAACAATGGTATCGCATGATAGAAAGATCACAAACAGTGGTATTGAGTGGTAGAGTCTGAACCATGGTATCGAGTGATAGAAAGATCCCAAACAGAGGTATTGAGTGGTAGAGTCTGAACAATGGTATTGAGTGATAGAAAGATCCCAAACAGTCGTATTGAGTGGTAGAGTCTGAACAATGGTATCGCATGATAGAAAGATCACAAACAGTGGTATTGAGTGGTATAGAGTCTGAACAGTCGTATTGAGTGGTAGAGTCTGAACAATCGTATCGCATGATAGAAAGATCACAAACAGTGGTATTGAGTGGTATAGAGTCTGAACAGTCGTATTGAGTGGTAGAGTCTGAACAATCGTATCGCATGATAGAAAGATCACAAACAGTGGTATTGAGTGGTATAGCGTCTGAACAGTCGTATTGAGTGGTAGAGTCTGAACAATGGTATCGCATGATAGAAAGATCCCAAACAGTGGTATTGGGTAGTAGAGTCTGAACAATGGTATCGAGTGATAGAAAGATCCCAAACAGTGGTATTGAGTGGTAGAGTCTGAACAATGGTATCGAGTGATAGAAAGATCCCAAATAGTGTTATTGAGTGGTATAGAGTCCGAACAGTGGTATTGAGTGGTATAGAGTCTGAACAATGATATTTAGTGATAGAAGGATCCCAAACAATGGTATTGAGTGGTATACGATGTCCAAACTATGGTTTTTAATTGTTAACAGTATCGTACGTGTAGCGAGGGTACTTATGGATATACACGATCTACCTTTAGTAGTTAGTAGGTGCCCTTACACTGTTGGTGTGTAAGTGTGAACAATAAATACAATATACAAAGAAGAACCATAACTTTTCATGAAAACAAAATCAGTTTCAGTGCACGTTGGTCAATGTTGCAGTTATGATAGAAAAACTTGATGCATCCGCATTTTATTTAGCATTATTTAATACAAAGTAACACATTCATCAATACATTGTTATTTCTATACCAATGTTCCACAAACAGCAAATGAATGCAGAAATACGTGAGTATATACAAGTGATCCTAGTATGTACGTGCAGAGTGATGTCACCCTGTGTTAGAGGTACAGGTGATAAGGCGCGGTACATATTTGTAGATCTACACTGTGTTCTCCTGCTTACAGACAGCAATGACATCAAATACGTACCGACTACAACTCATAAAAGTTGTCTTTGTTGATATCGGGGTCAAAGGAACAGCTATTACTACTACAATGGAACAGCAACTATTGACAAATTATGTCCTTTTGACATGTATTCGTCAACTTTTAGAATGACTTTCTCGGTTTTAGGTCGTTACTGTGGTGACCGAATCCCAGCAACTCTCATCTCTTCAGACAGTCGCATGTGGCTGGAGTACAGGTCAAGCAGAGGTCAGGGGTCAGGGTTTAGTGCTCAGTATGAAGGTAAGGTCAAATGACAAAATATTCTAGTTTAAACGTTAAATGTTATTTTATTTTTCTGTTGACAAAATGAATTTTCAAGCGTATCAGTATCATTGTCACAATTGACCGTTAGTATAAATCACACAGCAGACTGGTATTGATTGATTACTGTAAAAGTGAAGCTTATCGCCTTCTGACTCTTTTAAGTGATCCCGGTGTCGAAATTTTTGCGTTTGTAACGGTTCTAAAATCTTCATATTCTATATTTCTATACTCAATGATATATGCGTGTGGATATTTTCTCACTAATTTACTCATCGTGAAAACAATGAACATTTCCTAATTGCAATAATTTCCACTTTGAAAGTATACACTGATTACGCTGGTGTCGGCTGTAGAAGCTCTGGTTGATCCTGTGTTTTGTTGGACAGCTATTTGTGGTGGTGAAATCTACAAGGAGAATGGACAGCTAACTAGCCCCAACTATCCTGACGACTACAAACCGAACAAAGAGTGCATCTGGAAAATTTCTGTGGAAGAACACTTCTCTGTGGCGCTTAAGTTCCAGTCCTTTGAGGTAGGTCTTTTAGGAATATCGTCTGAAAATTTCAAGTCATTTGCGTCGACTGAAATGTATGAACTTTTTAAAAAGGAAGAGATTCAGTTATGTTAATTGGAGCTCGATCCGATAGGTTTACAGGATTTTTAATCTGCCCCTACGCCAGACAAAATGTAATACCAAAGCACGCTGAATTGATTTTTAATCTGCCCCTACGCCAGACAAAAGGTAATACCAAAGCACGCTGAATTGCATTCACTTTCAAAACAGGCAAAATTTATCGGATCCAACATTCACAAAAAATACAGATTCAAAGGAAAACAAAGAAAACGAAACAAAAGTCTGTATTTTTTTACGTTGATGTCCAGCCCACATTCAACGATCTGCATGGTAGGTATGTAGACGAAGTATCTAATGACCTACTCCGTGTCTGTAACACTACAACATGGTAGGTATGTAGTTGTATCAGTAGACAAAGTATCTAATGACCTCCTCCGTGTCTGTAACACTACAACATGGTAGGTATGTAGACAAAGTATCTAATGACCTACTCCGTGTCTGTAACACTACAACATGGTAGGTATGTAGTTGTATCAGTAGACAAAGTATCTAATGACCTACTCCGTGTCTGTAACACTACAACATGGTAGGTATGTAGTTGTATCAGTAGACAAAGTATCTAATGACCTACTCCGTGTCTGTAACACTACAACATGGTAGGTATGTAGTTGTATCAGTAGACAAAGTATCTAATGACCTACTCCGTGTCTGTAACACTACAACATGGTAGGTATGTAGTTGTATCAGTAGACAAAGTATCTAATGACCTACTCCGTGTCTGTAACACTACAACATGGTAGGTATGTAGTTGTATCAGTAGACAAAGTATCTAATGACCTACTCCGTGTCTGTAACACTACAACATGGTAGGTATGTAGTTGTATCAGTAGACAAAGTATCTAATGACCTACTCCGTGTCTGTAACACTACAACATGGTAGGTATGTAGTTGTATCAGTAGACAAAGTATCTAATGACCTACTCCGTGTCTGTAACACTACAACATGGTAGGTATGTAGTTGTATCAGTAGACAAAGTATCTAATGACCTACTCCGTGTCTGTAACACTACAACATGGTAGGTATGTAGTTGTATCAGTAGACAAAGTATCTAATGACCTACTCCGTGTCTGTAACACTACAACATGGTAGGTATGTAGTTGTATCAGTAGACAAAGTATCTAATGACCTACTCCGTGTCTGTAACACTACAACATGGTAGGTATGTAGTTGTATCAGTAGACAAAGTATCTAATGACCTACTCCGTGTCTGTAACACTACAACATGGTAGGTATGTAGTTGTATCAGTAGACAAAGTATCTAATGACCTACTCCGTGTCTGTAACACTACAACATGGTAGGTATGTAGTTGTATCAGTAGACAAAGTATCTAATGACCTACTCCGTGTCTGTAACACTACAACATGGTAGGTATGTAGTTGTATCAGTAGACAAAGTATCTAATGACCTACTCCGTGTCTGTAACACTACAACATGGTAGGTATGTAGTTGTATCAGTAGACAAAGTATCTAATGACCTACTCCGTGTCTGTAACACTACAACATGGTAGGTATGTAGTTGTATCAGTAGACAAAGTATCTAATGACCTACTCCGTGTCTGTAACACTACAACATGGTAGGTATGTAGTTGTATCAGTAGACAAAGTATCTAATGACCTACTCCGTGTCTGTAACACTACAACATGGTAGGTATGTAGTTGTATCAGTAGACAAAGTATCTAATGACCTACTCCGTGTCTGTAACACTACAACATGGTAGGTATGTAGTTGTATCAGTAGACAAAGTATCTAATGACCTACTCCGTGTCTGTAACACTACAACATGGTAGGTATGTAGTTGTATCAGTAGACAAAGTATCTAATGACCTACTCCGTGTCTGTAACACTACAACATGGTAGGTATGTAGTTGTATCAGTAGACAAAGTATCTAATGACCTACTCCGTGTCTGTAACACTACAACATGGTAGGTATGTAGTTGTATCAGTAGACAAAGTATCTAATGACCTACTCCGTGTCTGTAACACTACAACATGGTAGGTATGTAGTTGTATCAGTAGACAAAGTATCTAATGACCTACTCCGTGTCTGTAACACTACAACATGGTAGGTATGTAGTTGTATCAGTAGACAAAGTATCTAATGACCTACTCCGTGTCTGTAACACTACAACATGGTAGGTATGTAGTTGTATCAGTAGACAAAGTATCTAATGACCTACTCCGTGTCTGTAACACTACAACATGGTAGGTATGTAGTTGTATCAGTAGACAAAGTATCTAATAACCTCCTCCGTGTCTGTAACACTACAACATGGTAGGTATGTAGTTGTATCAGTAGACAAAGTATCTAATGACCTACTCCGTGTCTGTAACAAACACTACAACATCTCCTGCTCGCAAATTAGCTATGCTTTCTTGATAAACGATGAAACCCTACCTATACATCTTCCTTTTTTTGCGAAAGACAAAACCAAAACTAATCCTGCTTTTTTTAATCTGCCTTTTATTGGCTTCCAGAATATCTTCTAAACAACGTTTATCGCTGCCTCTACTAACTGCCAATCAAGTCATTAACCAAATATATCACTATCATTCTTAGTACCATTAAATCAGAAATACAGTTGTATTACATGAATGAAACTCTATACTTCAGAAGTTGAATTAACGAAAAGTGGATTTTGAATCTTTTCATCCATCTTGAGTATCTCTTCCTCAACCTAATTCTTCCATCAGAACATGTTACTTTTCCACTCGGTACACTTCCATACATCATACCCTGTTGAAGGAACGCCTTCGTTAAAACATGAGAGTTTTCTTTTCCAAATACAAATATACATGTATAGGTATATGACTGTAGACTAATATGAAAACAAGACAAAAACGAGGATGAAATGCAAGAATGATTGAGTTCCTTATTGACAATGTTCTTATAGTATTGTGGCAAGATATAACGGCAGATTGTAGCATTCCCATACAAACAATCTGTCTCCCACTTCTGGTCGAATTGTTTTATTAGAACTGGTTACAAACACCTCGCCAAGTCCTCTGAATTTCAATTACACATGTTTTGTCGCTATGTTCTTTCGCAATTTCTTTCATTCAATTGATTACCTCGTCCATGTGTTTACCCTCAAAACTTGAAACTAATGAAACCATAGACTCTCCTACCTCCACCTCCGTCGCTTTCATCGATATTATTTTAGATCATGACCAAATTGAAGGCTTACTATACGAATGCCAGAAGAGCGGCAGGATTTGGATTTTCCTATCTAAACTTTCCCTTTCCTGATAGTAAAGTCTATGACTTATGTGTTTACATGTCGCATTTAAGGAGGTTATCAAGAGATTGCTTCGAATATCATGATGTCCGTGATAGAAGTTTGTGGCAATCAGATTCCAGTTTTTAGGTATGTTTTCTTGCAATATTTTCATTATCTCACCTTCTGGTCTTGTTTCTACAAATTGTGACACCTGTAGAACATAGCAGGTTATTGGGAAGATTATATAGATAATATATCAGTCCATTTCCTGGAACACTAACTGGATAGTGAGACACCCATACTAGTGGCGTCGGGATAGTTGAACAACAAAATAGGTCGTGGCTGGATAGTGGATTAGCAGATTGGTGGTGGTTGGAGAACGGACTAGCAGATTGGTGGTCGTTGGAGAACAGACTAGCATATTGGTGGTTGTTGGAAAACGGACTAGCAGATCGGTGGTGGTTGGAGAACGGACTAGCAGATCGGTGGTGGTTGGGGAACGGACTAGCAGATCGGTGGTGGTTGGAGAGTGGACAAACAGATTGGTGGTGGTTGGAGAACGGACTAGCAGATTGGTGGTGGTTGGAGAGTGGACAAACAGATTGGTGGTGGTTGGAAAACGGACTAGCAGATTGGTGGTTGATGGAGAACGAACTAGCAGATTGTTGGTGGTTGGAGAACGGACTAGCAGATTGGTGGTGGTTGGAGAGTGGACAATCAGATTGGTGGTGGTTGGAGAACGAACTAGCAGATTGGTGGTGGTTGGAGAACGGACTAGCAGATTGGTCGTGGTTGGAGAGTGGACTAGCAGATTGGTGGGTGATGGAGAACGAACTAGCAGAGTGTTGGTGGTTGGAGAACGGACTAGCAGATTGGTGGTGGTTGGAGAACAGACTAGCAGATTGGTGGTGGTTGGAAAACGGACTAGCAGATTGGTGGTTGAATGAGAACGGAACAAACAGATTGGTGGTGGTTGGAGAGTGGGACAAACAGATTGGTGGTGGTTGGAGAACGGACTAGCAGATTGGTGGTGGTTGGAGAGTGGACTAGCAGATTGGTGGTGGTTCGAGAGTGGGACAAACAGATTGGTGTTGGTTGGAGAGTGGACAAACAGATTGGTGGTGGTTGGAGAGTGGACAAACATATTGGTGGTGGCTTGAGAGTTGATAAACAGATTGGTGATGGTTGGAGAGTGGACAAACAGATTGGTGGTGGTTGCAGAGTGGACAAACAGATTGGTGTTGGTTGGAGAGTGGACAAACAGATTGGTGGTGGTTGGAGAGTGGGACAAACAGATTGTTGGTGGTTAGAGAGTGGACAAACAGATTGTTGGTGGTTAGTGAGTGAACAAACAGATTGGTGGCGGTTGGAGAGTGGACAAACAGATTGGTGGTGGTTGGAGAGTGGGACAAACAGATAAGTGGCCGCTATATAATGTGTCTAGTAGACAAGAGGTGGTTAGAGAGAAATGTTTAGCTAGGATATCTAGGCTCAATAGTATGTACAAATAAGTGTGTTTCTCTGTAACTCCAGATAGATAGCATAGTAAGGACATTGTTTACAATTAACCCATACTGTTGTTTATATCGCTGCCCACCTCACTTTTTTTCAAAAACTTTGTCCCATAAAACAACATTTATAACAACCCTGTTTCGGATATTCCTTTGCAAAACACACACATACTGCATTAAACATGAGTTGGTTATCAGCACCACTATAACAGGAGAGGACAAATGTAATATTGCCAGTCCAATATTTTAACCTCCATTGGGAATATTCGAACCAACTGAGCTATTCTGCCACAGGTAGTCCCTCATTATAGTCCCACTTCACGTACATACAAATTATGGAAGAAAGATAAAGTTGGATATGTTCCAGATATTGGCTTGTATTTAATTATTTCGCTGTTCGAGGGGAAATTGTGTTTATGGCAGGCAGAGCCAGATATTAGCAGCACCTTACAGGTCTGTTATCCTCTCACAGACCACACCTGGGCTACAGGTAATTATGTTACTTCCACAGACTACACCAGGGCTGCAGGTTATTACGTTACTAAAACAGACAACAAGTACAACTTTTTATTTCTTTACATTTACGTCAATCTATTTGACAGCATAAACAAACTCGAAATATAAATGTTGGTGCCAATAACATCAATGCATTAACCGTTCTCTTAAATAACTCGTTCTAACAGTCGGTTCTACCATAACAACACTTGCGGCCTATTAAAGTACCATGATGTATTATAGTTCAGGAAAGTTTGCGAAACAGTGGATATGAAAAGAACACGAAAGTGTCCTTAATATTAATGGAGATGTGTTATACATAGCTTAAAAAGCTCCGATAGGTATCAGTTGACCACTACTGGTCCTTAGTAGGCAAATACTTTTTAATGGATAAATACCTCAGGTATTTGAAACATTTAGTTGCCCAACAATAGTAGGTCTTCCTTAAGCTTATAAACTTCTAGCATGAAAAATAAATGCGTAGTTGCAAACTTATTTGTAAATGAAGAGTTCATATTGGGTTATTGTGTATGGTCTATTGTAAAATGCCAATATCCTCTTTTGTAACCAGATCGAAAACCATGACAACTGTGTCTATGACTATCTGGAGATACGGGATGGACACGAGGATAACTCTCCACTGATTGGTCGATTCTGTGGGTATAAAATTCCAGAGGATATCAAGTCTACCGGAAACAAGTTATATGTAAAGTTTGTGTCTGACGGCTCTGTACAGAAGGCTGGGTTTGCTGCTTCCTTTGTAAAGGGTAGGTGGATTATCTCGACTTCATCGTGTAGATGAGAAAAATGAATTTGAAAAGTAAATAAATGTACCGTAAATAGGAAGGATCGCGTTGAACATCACTGGATATATATATCAGTACATATTTTCGTTAGGACACGTGACTTAATGACGTTACATAGATAATGGACTTATTTGTGTTACAAAACATAAAAGTGAGCTTTTGGATATGTAATATATGAAAAGTGACCTATGGGTGTCAAATAATACATTATATATGTACAATAAGTGACGTATTTGTGTAACATTTATAAAGACAAGTGACCTATTTGTGTTACAGATCATAACAAATTACCAATTGCGTTAAAACAAGCGACTGACTTGCGATACAGACAGGTGACCCGTTTGCTAGTTTGAAAAGTGACTTAGTTCTTATACAGACAAATGACCTATATGTGTTACAGAAAAGTGACCCATTTGTGTACATGTTTATGTTTGTATTTGCAACTTATTGGCCGCAAACCTAAGGAATAAAGAGCATTGAACATTGACCAATTTGTGTTACAGAGATATGAATTACTTTGTGTTACTGACAAGTGACCAATTTGCGTTACAGATTATGACAAGAGACATATGTGTGTTACAATGTATAACCTATTTGTTTTACAGATTTATGTTACGTTGTGTTACAGTGATATGTATTGCATTGTGTTACAGAGTATGACGAGTGTGCGACAGACTACCATGGCTGTGACCCTATTTGTGTTACGTGGCGTAACTGTGATATGTATTCCATTGTGTTACAAAGTATGACTAGTGTGCGACAGACTACCATGGCTGTGACCATATTTGTGTTACGTGGTGTAACTGTGATATGTATTCCATTGTGTTACAAAGTATGACGAGTGTGCGACAGACTACCATGGCTGTGACCATATTTGTGTTACGTTGTGTAACTGTGATATGTATTCCATTGTGTTACAGAGTATGACGAAAGTGCGACAGACTACCATGGCTGTGACCATATTTGTGTTACGTTGTGTAACTGTGATATGTATTCCATTGTGTTACAGAGTATGATGAGTGTGCGACAGACTACCATGGCTGTGACCATATTTGTGTTAACACACTCGGCAACTTCAAGTGTGAATGTAAGATTGGGTATGAGCTCCACTCCGACGGAAAGAAATGTGAAGGTAAATGATACAGTGTTAGGAATGAGGTAGACCAGCGGTCAATGTCTTGGAAACAGGACATTGCTGTTTTTCGACAATGCTAAAGATAGCATATATCATAACACAGTATATACATCTTCAAATATATTTATTTCATACATTTTTTATACATTAATAATATTCTTTAACATTTACAAGCACTCTGATACATTTTTAATAGTATTGGTACAGTTGTAACTACAGTGTGAAATGTTGGCACTTTAATTTATATTTTCCTTGTGATTAGATGCGTGTGGAGGCTACATAGACCTTGAGAATGGTACGATTCAGAGCCCCTCCTTCCCTGACCTGTACCCACCCAACAAGATGTGTGTGTGGGAAATTGTGGCCCCGGACCAGTACAGGATCACACTCAACTTCACACATTTTGACATGGAGGGCAATAACGTGAGCAGGTTTCAGTAAACTACCATTAATATATCTTGAACATCATACCAATAAAATTTATAAAAAAACTTTAGAACCAGCTCCGCTTATAAATACCATCAAGCTAAATACAATGTTTTCTTATAAAATTGCAAACTTTTCAAAATGGATTATTGACAGAATATATATGAAATGTACTGATGATTAATGATACCAGAGTAATAAATGTGTGTGCTTGTTTGACAGCAAGATTGTGAGTACGACTCGGTGCGGGTGAGCAGTGGTGTAGGAACAGAGGCAGTCATACACGGGATATTCTGTGGCTCCAATCTCCCCATGCCCATCACCTCAGAGAGCAACACACTCCGCATTGAATTCAACTCTGATAACTCCGTACAGAAAACAGGTTTCCAAGCTGTTTTCTTTACAGGTAATGTACTTCTGTGTCAAAATGCACACTTCCTAATGACAAATATAACCACTTCCTAATGACAAACATAACCACTTCCTGATTACAAAATGAACACTTTCTGATGACAAAATGAACACTTTCGGATGACGTAATGAACACTACCTGATGACGCAATGAACACTTCCTAATTGTGTAATGAACACTCCCTAATGACATAATAAACACTTCCTAAACCATAATGATGAAACAATACTTCTTGAGGCGGCGATGGTTATGATATACCTCTGTGGTAATGATAGATTTCCGCACAATACAATTATCTAACAAGCCATTTTTCTTGCAGACATGGATGAATGTGCTGTAAACAATGGAGGTTGTCAACATATTTGTAAGAACACTGTCGGGAGCTATGAGTGTGCCTGCCACAATGGATTCACCTTGCATGAAAACAAACATGACTGCAAGGAAGGTAAGGTGATCAGCGACACCATTAAATTGACCGACAAAGTCATGTTCACAACTTCTTCAGATGTATCACTTGTCTGTTGTTTTAGTAGTTTTATAATGAGGGGTGTTTTCAATCTATTACATCAATCGTTTTGTTTAATAATTGTATGCCATGGTCATATTTAAGGTCAAACGTAGTGGAAACCACACTGATTCAGTATTTATCACTCTAAGTTACTAGACTGACGTAAACACTGGTTTAACATAGCCGTATTCAGTAATGCATTAAAGCACATCATTATAACATTCACATTACCAGTAACTGTTTCTAGTGATATAGCACACTGTAAAACATGAAACACCTAGTAGCCGTCATATGTACATCCCCATACGTATGTTGTACTAGGTGGATGCCAACACACCAACAGTGACCCCCAAGGGGAGATAAGTAGCCCAAACTGGCCGGACTACTACCCGAGCCGAAAGGACTGTGTGTGGCAATTCACCACCACTGAGGGACACAGGATCAAGCTTGTCTTCCAGCACTTTGAGTTGGAGCCCCACCAGGAGTGTACTTACGACCACATTGAAATATTTGACGGCAAGGACTCGAATGCCCGCAGCCTGGGTCGGTTCTGTGGCAGCAGTATCCCACGTCCCATCAGCTCCAGCAGTAACGTCATGTATATGGTTTTCTACTCGGACGCGTCTGTACAACGCAAAGGATTCCACGCCATCCACAAGACAGGTAAGCTACGTCAAACTGTTGTGACATGTCGGCTACTCTTAACTCTAAAGACAGGTAAGCTACGTCAAACTGTTGTGACACGTAGGCTACTCTAAACTCTAAAGACAGGTAAGCTACGTCAGACTGTTGTGACATGTAGGCTACTCTAAACTCTAAAGACAGGTAAGCTACGTCAGACTGTTGTGACATGTAGGCTACTCTAAACTCTANTTAAACTCTAAAGACAGGTAAGCTACCTCAAACTGTTGTGACATGTCGGCTACTCTAAACTCTAAAGACAGGTAAGCTACGTCAAACTGTTGTGACATGTCGGCTACTCTAAACTCTAAAGACAGGTAAGCTACGTCAAACTGTTGTGACATGTCGGCTACTCTAAACTCTAAAGACAGGTAAGCTACGTCAAACTGTTGTGACATGTAGGCTACTCTAAACTCTAAAGACAGGTAAGCTACGTCAAACTGTTGTGACATGTAGGCTACTCTAAACTCTAAAGACAGGTAAGCTACGTCAGACTGTTGTGACATGTAGGCTACTCTAAACTCTAAAGACAGATAAGCTACGTCAAACTTTTGTGACATGTAGGCTACTCTAAACTCTAAAGACAGGTAAGCTACGTCAGACTGTTGTGACATGTAGGCTACTCTAAACTCTAAAGACAGATAAGCTACGTCAAACTGTTGTGACATGTAGGCTACTCTAAACTCTAAAGACAGGTAAGCTACGTCAGACTGTTGTGACATGTAGGCTACTCTAAACTCTAAAGACAGATAAGCTACGTCAAACTTTTGTGACATGTAGGCTACTCTAAACTCTAAAGACAGGTAAGCTACGTTAAACTTTTGTGACATGTCGGCTACTCTAAACTCTAAAGACAGGTAAGCTACGTCAAACTTTTGTGACATGTAGGCTACTCTAAACTCTAAAGACAGGCAGGATTCAACGAGCTGCTTGAAATGTAAGGTAACCGTAAATTACTCATATACATATTTTAAAAAAGAGATGGTTTGTGAAACATAAGTTTGGCTGATAATATTCATATCGATAGTTACATGAAGAGAAGGGGAAACAACTTGTACTTGACTAAATCTGTTTGATGTTGATGTAAAGAATGCGGCGGGCACCTGACAGCTAAGGATGGCCAACAGAGACTGTACTCGCACTCTAAGTACGGCGACCAGAACTATGACAACAAGATGGAGTGTGAGTGGGTGATTGAGGCCAAAAGCAACAAACGTATCAAATTCTACTTTGTCACGTTTGAAATAGAAGATGAAAGCGAATGCGGGTGAGTTATGTATACAGAACACCAGATATAATGGCTAAAAAGAGTCTAGATTAAATACGTAGATTGAACTATAAGCTCCCCTGGTGAGGCGTCTGTCATATATCAACCATTTTATTTAGTGACGTCGTCTTAAGCACCAAAACGGCATAGTGTCATATGATCTTAAAATATTTTACCATAAGCGTGTTTGCATAAAGCCCTTCACATTTTCGAAAGCAAAAATGACCTTTATTCAAGGTCGTATGGGTCAAATTTGTCTAACCAAAATGCGAACAGTTATCATATTGGCCATTTATTTGCTTGTAAGAAGAAGTGCAACAGATTTTGACAACATGGAAGATCACGACTTACTTTCAGATTCACGTGGGTGAAATAAAAATTAAATCTTTGGTCTCTTTTGTAAAAAAAAAAAAGAAGAAAAAAGAAAACAAAATAAGTTCTTGTTGATATTGAGGCCTGTCTATGAGATAAGTCCTCTTTCAGAGTTATTGGGGTCGAATGTGTTCGCGGAATCCTTTTAGACGGTTTCATGAGTGTCGTTATATCAATTTAATTGAGAAGCTTCTTTTTTCACTTTTTTAACGGTCGGTATTTTTACGCTTGAACAGATGAGAGATTGGCCTGTACAATGAATAGAATCTATCTTATAATTGTTTGTAATGTTTATCATGTTAATTCACTTTGATTGTTTTGTGGACAGGTACGACAATGTCGAGATATATGACGGAATGCACGATACCGATCCCTTGGTCGACAGATACTGCGGGAGTAAGGTCAGTATGGGCGAGTGATGTACGGATAGGAGTCAGTTTACACAGGTTTAGTGTACAGAACAGACATGAATATAGACAGTAAAGCTTAGAATTAGTAATGACAGATGTCGCTATCAGTTCTGTCAGGAGATGATTTAGAAAAATCAATATAGCTGGAAGTAAATAAAGATGGGAAGTGGGAGTAAGAGGAATCGGTATAGACAGAAGTTTTTTTTATTTACAGAAATCAGTTTAGAAAGGGGATCAGTATAGTCGGGAGTAAATACAGACAGGAGGCAGTTTGGACAGGAGTCGATATAAACAGAAATTAAAATAGAAGGAAATTAGTTTAGGCAGTAAATACGGATATGAAAAAGCATAGGCAGGAGTCGATATAAACTATATAAGGCGATGACGTGATGGTGATGTTTACAGAATAATAGCGCCTCTGAGCTTTCTTTTCACTCTGTAGGTAAAGACAGGTTTATTTTTAGCTAGCAAAACGGAAATACACCTTTGAAGTGTGGCGCAATTTAGAGTCCGTATTAACACGGAAATGTTGTCTTAAAAAAAATATCGGTCACTAAAACATGCTTCTATAGATCAATATATGTAAAGAATATCTTTGTATTATGTAGGTTCCCTCTGAGATAATCTCGTCAGGAGAGTACCTTCTGATTCGCTTCAAGTCTGACGACACCATCAACTGGAAAGGGTTCTCTGGAATATATCTCCAGACCAGCCCAGAACAGGAGGGACTAGGAGGGCTGAAGCAGCTCCCCAATCTCCGCTAGTCTAGACCAGCCCGCCTTTCTATCCAGGGATTCTGTAGAGTTCCAACTGATCCGAGCCAGTCCACAGCAGGTTTAAGACAAGGGACACCCACACCCTCTACCTTCCTTCAGCCATCGCTCTGTCTGATGTTTGGCCAGTCCTTCAAAAGTCTACACTGTCAAATTGTCCACAGGTTACTGAACGCCTCGTGTACAGGTCATTATGTGAGCAGGGTCCAAAGCAATAAATAAGATGTGGAATTGTGGGTGAAAGTGTATCAAATGAAGAGAGAAATTGAGGGATTTGTGTTAGCTCAGCACCAACACTGGAACACTTCTCTACCTCCATATAAAGCGAGCTAAAGAAGACATATTTCTGTATATTGTGTGTGTCGTAGGGAGAAATGGAAAAGAAAAAAATGCAATAATCAAAACGTGTATTGTTGAATGTGCCGTTGTTTCTAAGTTGTACATATTCTAGGTATCTAATTAATGGTTGTGTTCTATAGTGTGTAAGGGTAGCACATCAAACTAGCTGTATCATTGAGTCAGCTCTACATTTTCTGGAACATATATTCATGTAAATTAATTATTGTATCATATTATATCTAGATCATGATTTAACTTTTTGCAATCAAACAAATGTTTTGTTTCTGTAGTGTGGTGATGTCGCGATAGTTTACCTATTTGTTTGGCAGTGGATGCTGTACTCTGTGAACACCAAGCCAATTCGGACGCTACCATAGCTCGGTGAACACTACTGTAAGGGGTTTTGTACACATTTTTTTTTAGTTATTAAAATGGAATGTCAAAATAATATTTCATCCACTTTAAATCATATTCAACGTGTACAAGATCTCCGATAAATATTCTATTTATATTGTACAGGATATACAATGGATATAATTATTACGTATACAAAAACATCTGGCACAATCTGGATGGATTAACCGTACTAGGTTGGTGTTGCTGATAAACCTTCTGAAGCAATACATTTATTGCTATTTAAACTTGTTAAAAACTGCCTAGTACTGTAAACATGCAAATCAGCATCAGTGACTATCAATTCCATGGACATTAATAATACTGTAAAAACTATGATACAGGACGTTTCTTTTTAATACGTTTCTAGCATTTATATGTGATGTGAGAGTAAATATGACATGTATACATGGTGTACAATGTAACATTGCATGTTTACATGTTGTACAATGTAACATTGCATGTTTACCTGTTGTACAATGTAACATTACATGTTTACATGGTTTTCAAGGTAACATTACATGTTTACATGTTGTACAATGTAACACTACATGTTAACATGGTGTACAAGGTAACATTACATGTATACATGGTGTACAATGTAACATTACATGTATACATGTTGTACAAGGTAACATTTAATATTAACATAGTGTACAATGTAACATTACATGTATACATGGTGTACAAGGTAACATTTAATGTATACATGGTGTACAAGGTAACATTACATGTTTATATGTTGTACAATGTAACATTTAATGTATACATGGTGTACAAGGTAACATTGCATGTTTACATGGTGTACAAGGTAACATTTAATGTATACATGGTGTACAATGTAACATTACATGTTTACATGTTGTACAAGGTAACATCACATGTATACATGGTGTACAATGTAATATTACATGTATACATGGTGTACAAGGTAACATTACATGTTTACATGTTGTACAATGTAACATTTAATGTATACATGTTGTACAAGGTAACATTACGTGTATAGATATTATTATTTTTCTTTATTAACAATTCATGGGTTTTAACATCATCAAATTTACTTTTCGCTTTCAACTATTTCATGTTAATATTCTTTAAATTTTTAAATATTGTAAATTATTTTGAGAAATAAATGTCATTTTTAAGAGATATTGTTTTGTATTTGTTTGATGTGTGGGGTTCTTGATCACAGGCTGGCTTGTCAGGCTAAAATATAATCCTAAAAGCAATAGACCTACAGTCCCGTGCCACATTTATAGTAGCAAGGTATCTTACTCGATATTACATGCGTTTCTACATATTATGATGAGTTGCATTTACGCCAATAGTAATACTTTTTGAAACAAAAATGTCCACCATAAAGACATTTTTCTCAAAATTATTTTATAGTTCTTTCCATCGAGCGGTTGTCACAATTGTACAACTTATTAGCTCACCGGGTCCGAAGGACCAAGGTGAGCTTATGCCATACCGTGGCGTCCGTCGTCCGTCCGTCGTCCGTCCGTCAACAATTTCTTTAAATGACTTCTTCTTCTGAACCACTGATTGGAATTTAACTGAATTTGAGTGTAAGCATTCCTAGATAGTGGGGATTCAAAATTGTACAAATGATGGGGCTGACCCCCAGAGGGCTGAGGGGCGGGGCCAAAAGGGGGCAAATTGGCTATATTGTTACAAACGACTTCTTCTGCAGAACTATGCCATGGATATCGATCATATTTGGTCGGAAGCATTCATGGGAGGCAGGGATTCAAAATTGTTCAAATGGTGGGGCTAACCCCAAAACTAAATATGCAAGTGTTGGGCATAAATAGGCGAATGCAGTCATGATATTATAATTGACCACGACCCTAGGGACCTAGTTTCTGATCCCCACCCCATAACCATACATAAAATTGCTGGGCATGAAAAATCTAATACAGATATGCTACAAGAATTGGCCTTGGGGTCTGGCTTATTCCCTTGGATCTCATTTAGAGAATATTTTCCCATGATTGCTTAGATATCCAGGTGAGTGATACAGGCCCTCAGGGCCTCTTGTTCAAAAACAATGTTCTTGTGCAATTCTGTTTTATCAAGCTTTCATGTTAAAGCATTACTTAAGAAATTAACTTAAACCGCTGAATGGCGAAAGATTAAAATCTGTTATGCGAGAACAACCCAGACAAATTATTTGTCATGATACAAAGATTTGTTCCCACAGCCTTACAATTGACTTGATTAATATTCAATAATATATTAAAAATATATAAAATGCATGAAATATAGAATTTAAAAAAAAATAATTGTAACCTTTAAATCGGCACGCGACTTACATTACAGCTTGAATACTGACAGCTCTGAAAAGGCACTCCGTAATTTTATTATCAAATTCATTATATCTTCGTATACTTTATTTGTGTACGCACAGTTTTCCCCCGTTAGTAAATAGTTGGCGTTATTAACATCTTAATATAGGATTAACGAAAATTACAGACTTTAATTTACTTTCTTCTGTGGAAATGTTATTGTAATAAACTGAAATCTACGCATCACTACACGCATGAGAACAGCTAGCAATGTCAATGGACAATGACATGTGCATAATAAACGCAAAAAAGATAATTGAGTCAATTGAAATTGAAATTGGTAAGATTTAAAAATTAACTTTCGGTTGTGTTTAAATTGGTAAATTTGATAGTCAACGAAGCCGAAAAGTAAAATTTAGCAAAATGCAATTTCCGTTATATCCATGTGGGGAAATTAAATCGCTTCGCTATAGTGTATATTTTACACCATTTGTTCTGTTACGGGGTGGGTATCCGTAATTTTGGGTTATTTTAAACATCCTACAAGATTAGGAACAAGTGACAAACCGCCTAATCAACTTACAGTTATCAACCAGTTAAGACTTTGTGGACGGACGGATGGACAGGAAGCCAGACAAAGTGATAACTATAGGGTAATTTACTTCAATGCTGATTGAGTCAAAAGAAATTGGACTGTCAGAACTCAAGTTATCCGGAGAGGAATTTGTGGTGGGATATTAGGACAGAGAGGATTTTGTGGATGAACTGACAGTAACTTCTACTACAATCTATCATCTTGTAAGGAAAAAATCAAAGTAAATGCTAAGTTTGTTTTTGATACAAACAGTAATTGAAAACTCATTTTGCGAGCTTTCGAAAATATATGTTTCCTTTCCTATGTAAAGAGTGCAAATGACTGGTGTCTCGGCTCTAAACCGCTAAAAACAATCCACTAAACCAAAATTCACCGAGTCGGTAAAGTCAGCTATACACAAAGAAAAAGGTTAAGCATCCCCACGTTTTTTTGAAATGACAAATGATACGATTAGTGTCATGAGATAACAGAACAAATAATCGCAAAAATACAATGCAGCTTGTTAGGACATTACATTAGCTTTAAGGAAAACAACAAATATCAACAGCAATGATAAGTTAATGAATAGATTGTCAAAAATGCACAAGCCCAGTTATTACACTAAAACATGTCCATTTTAGGTATTGACCTTCTTAGGTCATAATGCCCGATAAGGTTGTCATTTCACTTAGAAAACGTCAATTTGAAGTCACTTAACGACATCCATGGTTCAAAGTTTAATATTGAGTGCAACCACCACGTGTTTGGATGACGACCGCAAACCCTGCGTCTCATCCCTCCAGTCAGTCGTCGGATTTCCTGCGGTAGCTGTCGCCATTCTCGATGCAATGCTGCTTCCAACTGAACTAAGTTTTATACAGGAGGTTCGACTGCCTGTACACGACGGCCTAACATGTCCCAAACATGCTCTATCGGATTCAAATCCGGGCTCATGGCTGGCCATGGAGGAGAAGTCACTGCTTCGCCTTGAAGGTAGACGGTTACCGCTCTTGAGCGATGCGGCCTGGCGTTGTCATCCATAAACACAGGCCTTGCAGCTAACGGATGGTTATCAAAATGGGGGACAACAACTGGCTGAAGAACTTCTCTGGTATATTAATCACCATTCAGGTTTCCTCGTATGGTCACCAAGTTCAACTTGCAATCATGAGAGATGCACCCCATACCATTACAGAGCCTCCACCGTAAGGAGAGCCTCCACCGTAAGGGACAGTTGGTTTGATGTTCCTTGGGGTATATGCTGTATTTTTCTGTCTCCATACTCTCATTCGTACATCTGTTACATGCAGGAGAAACCGGCTCTCGTCCGACCAATGGATCTTGCTCCAGGTCCTCAAGTTCCAACCACGTCGTGCTAAACGCCATGCCAAACGCAATCTTTGATGTCGATCAGTTAACATTGGACGTCTAATTACCCTCCTTGACTTCAGTCCTGCTGATTTCAACCGGTTCCTCACTGGTCTGGTTGATAAACGTTTATAAGGTAACCATTGTCTTTTTAGAACAGGACTAGTTGCAAATGGCATTCGTCTAACTAGGCGTTCCAGCGCCTTGTCTTCACGCTGCGATGTTACGGGTGGTCTACCGGATCTTGGCAAGTCTTTGACGGTGTTGGTTATGATGGGTTTTTTCACAAGCCGGCTGACTACAGTATAATGATAGCCCATCTGACGTCCAATAGCTTTAAAAGACATCCCTGTTGACCGCATGCCGATAATTTGCCATCTTTGGGCCTCCGATATTCGTCTTCGTACCATGTTCACAAAGAATGAATATATTTTTCAAAACACCGAACTTTAATACCCAAATTTGAAGCGTGGGCATACTGAATTTTGGAAATTGCATGGGAGGCATGGTTCACGTGCATAATACCTCAATATCTTAATTACCGGTCACACCTGTATGATCACATCTTTTTAATGGAACAATGGTCTTGTTAAAATCAATATTTTCATTTAAATTGAAATGTGTGGTAACATACTATAATTCAATATACCAGGGGGTGCTTAACTGTTTTCTTTGTGTATATCAGAACATATCGAAACATTTCACAAAATAGCACTCTTATTCTACAGGCAGTCAGAAGGACGGGTCATAAAGACGCCCACCAGCCGGGTCATCTTTATGCGAGATGTTTTCCGAAAAATGCAAATTGTGCCCCACAAATTATCTCCCTTGTTTAAAACGAAAAAGAAGAAAAAAAAGATATATCCACTTTTTTGGTTAAACGTATGTTTTTATCATTTGTGTATATAACCATGCATTAATAGTTGTTTAGTTCTCATTAAGTTCCGAGAATACTACTTACGAAGTTCTACACAGGTGCAGTGTTATATAACGCTTTTCACGAATGGTCCCTATTTGTGCTATAAATAATATATTTAGAAACACAATATAAATGTTACCACAAAGCTTAACTCGCATATCTAGAGCCAAATCACACAGTCGTCCGTATACACTAACATACATATAGAGTGCTCGATGATGATGTACTAATAGCAGTTTAGTTTAAGAAATTGATTTATTCAAACACGCCAAGAAACTTCCGTCTCGGCTTCAAAAGTCTCCGTGTATAATACC